AGAAGTCACTGAAATGGCTAAATATTCTTGTGAAAATTCTTCAATCCGTTCAGTCGAAATTTTAAATATTTCTGTGATAGAGGAAAACGCTTTTTCTTGGTGTGATTTTTTGACAAAAGTTGTTTTCAGTCAGAAGTTGAAAAATATTAAAAACGAGGCGTTTTTGTCGTGTTATTCACTTAAAGAAATAACATTACCAAAAGGTCTACAGACCGTTGGGGATAGTAGTTTTGAGAAGTGTCATTCCCTCACAAAAGTGTTTTGTGAAAACGACGATGTGATGTATGCAACAAAGTGTTTTGCTTTTTGTGTTTCACTGAAAGAAGTTCCAGTTATAAAGAATATAAGCGTTGCTATGTTTTTTGAATGTAAATCGCTGTGTCAAATTTCGTTGAGTCAAAATTGCAAAGAAATTTGTGATTTCGCATTTTATCGATGTTTGTCACTCTCAAAAATTGATATCCCAAAAAGTGTCACAAGAATTGGAGCTTGCAGTTTTAGAAAATGTGTCGCATTGAAAAAAATTGAAATACCATCAAATGTTGTAAATGTTGATGACGGCGCGTTTTATGACTGCAAAAACATTGAAAAAGTTGTTATTTATAATTCCATTGTTATATGTGGAGTCGATGTGTTTGAAGAATGTGAGAGAATTACATCTCTGCAAATTGGCACAGAAAAAGAAATATACAAATTTGAAGTGAGTTATACGTTTTATTTACAAATGAAGAATATACACATTAATTGTGAAAATGTTGCAGTAAGGAGAAGTGATGTTTATAAATATGGGACTACTATGATTAATGAAATTCAATCGAATAATTTGATTCACAGAATTGATGAAGGCTGTTTCTACAAAAACACTGAATTGACCAAAATTGAAATTCCAGAGCATGTCACAGAAATTGGTGATTTTGCTTTTTACAATTGTTTAAATTTGAAAGAAGTTGTATTACCAACAACCGTTGTGGAAATTTCACATTATTGTTTTGATGGATGCACAAATTTGAGTACATTGGCGTTGAAGGGAAACATTGAAAAATATGGAATATGTTGTTTCAACGAATGTAAGTGGTTGAAAGGCAAAATCAATGCACCAGATAATTGTTTTGAAATTCAACAAGACAATGATTCCAATGATTATTAATTAATAATAAAAGTGTTAATTTAATTACCAGTTTTATCGATATAAATTATTTTTTAATAAAAACACAGTTATTTATATAAATAATTGTAAATCGACCCTAATAATAATTAGTGTTAAATTAATTTTTCAAATGGTAAAGGGTTTCTTGAGGATAAGGTGTATCCTCAGGATCAAAGCTATCCTTATTAAAAAATATTTTTCTGAGGATACAAAAAACAAATCCATAAGGTTCAGTTCCCCATAAAGCCCACTCTCATAACTCAAGTTATAATTTACACTTAATATTTCGAGTCAAAGTTCGAATTTTAAATGATGGTAATAATTTGTCATAAATGCCAAAAGATTAAAAACAATCAAAAAATCGCCACAATAATTTATAAACATAAACAATAATTATAACTCGCTTACTTGAGACGGGAAATAACAAAGTGTGAATTAAACATGTTCATATTATAATTATAAACTTATTGATATTATTTCTGAATCCTTTTTAATAACAAAACGATTGAAATTTACGTTTAAAATGATAATTGTTTTTTTAATCAAAATGAAAATTGAAAAAGTCGAAAACACCGATTTACTAAAATGTGATTTTAAAATAACAAATTTATAAATAATTTTGTAATTTATGCAATTATTCAAATTTATTATAATAACAAAGTTAATCATATTGTGTATAATTTAAAAAGAATGTTTCATTTTGATATTAACTTGTGTTTTAAACAGATTTACAGTTCTGAGGATGGCAATTATTTTCTGAGGATGACAGAAATAGAAAGTTTACACTTTTACATCTGTCTGAAATGTATATTGAGTAAGTTACTATTTTTGAATATGGGAACACGTCATTTCACTTTTTAGATGTTTAAGTCTGTGTTGATAATGTTTGTTTGTTACACGACTTACCATCCTCAGAGATATTTATAGCACTGCCATTATTGATTTAAAAATCTATAAATAACATTATATTTTCAAAGAATTTTTATAAAGAGAGTTTTGTTAATTGATTATATCAAAAATCGTCAAAACACAACAAAAACGCCAAATAATATATAAAATTGATTATTAAATTAAAGATACATTTATTGAGAATTAATATTGTTTTATATAAAATAATAATATAAACATATATTTCTTGTGTGTATATGTTTTTAAAATATAAATAAAACCGTTTATAACAAAAACAATAATTTAACAAATTTGTTTATTTATCAATCGTTGTTTTATCGATCTTCAAAACCTCGCGTTTTGAATTTGCGCAAATACATAAATTGTCATCACATAGAGTATATATTATTAATACGTTATTTGCTATCAATTTTTATTGTTTGAAATATCATGAATTGATTTTTAATAAATTGTATTTTTTGTGAAAGAAAGATTAAAAATTGTTCGATTAATTTGTTTTGTGATTTTGATTAAAAAATTGACTTTTTCGATAAATTAAATCAATTTTTATTGTTTTCATATGAACCAAGGTTAGTCTAGTGGTAAGTCAGAAAATAGAAATAGATTATTTTTTTGTAAAAATCAACTGAAAGAATCATCTTTCAAAAAATCCATAAATAGCATTTTTAAAGAAAATCACGTGTTTCAAAATATACCTTATTTATCTTAGGCAAAAAAATCCAAATTGAAAGAAATTATGTTTAAGATATTTACCATCTTCAGAAAAATTAACAATCCTCATGAATCCCTTAATAATTGGTTTTTATTGTAATAAAAAAACAAAAAACGCTTTTTCATATTCATATTATAATAACATTTAATTTAAAAAACGATTTATAGTTTAAATATATAGTTACTATTATTTTAACATCTATTTATCATTTTTAATAACATGTTTAAAAAACCACAAAACGTATTTTAATCAACAGTTTACATCAGATTTGTTATAAACAGTTTATTTCAATTATAGAAACTAATTTTAATTATTTAATTTATTATAAATAATTTCAAATTCAACAACAGTTAATATAAGATTATTTTAATATTTATTTCAATACATTTTTAAGTTTCATTTTGCAATTTGAATTCAACTTAATTCATTCATGTTATTATAAACATTTTTTAATATTTTCGACAAATCATGTTAAATTCATAGCATACTCCGTAGCTTTTGCATTTTTTACTCACAAAATTTTTGTCTCAATTTTGTTTTTCTGGATTTTTTTTCGATTATCGAGTGCACCTTTAATCAACAAAATACCCTCTTTTTTTGGAAAAACACTTTTATTAAACTTATTTTAGAATTGTGCAAAAAAATACAGATTTAAAAATAAATCATTATCATTTTATATTTAGAACCAGTCTTTCAATTCCTGATCATTTAAGTCTTCATAGTGTATTATTTAACTATAAAAAATGAAAAGTTATCCAAAATGAACAAAATAACACTGCGATTATTGATTGTTTTAACAAACAGGCATAAACGCCTTTTTACCAAAAAGACGAAATAAAAACTATCGAAACAATACATATAAAAACCCCAGTTATAACCAAATAATATACCAAATTATTTTATAAAAGGATTATTTCGG